AAGTCACTGGCTATACAGTCAGTACTGAGGATTGGTCCTCCAAGTCACAGGCTATACAGTCAGTACTGAGGATTGGTCCTCCAAGTCACAGGCTATACAGTCAGTACTGAGGATTGGTCCTCCAAGTCACTGGCTATACAGTCAGTACACAGTCAGTGCTGAGGATTGGTCCTCAAGTCACTGGCTATACATTCAGATACACAGTCAGTACTGAGGATTGGTCCTCCAGGCCACAGGCTATACAGTCAATACACAGTCAGTGCTGAGGATTGGTCCTCCAAGTCACTGGCTATACAGTCAGTACACAGTCAGTACTGAGGATTGGTCCTCCAAGTCACTGGCTATACAGTCAGTACACAGTCAGTGCTGAGGATTGGTCCTCCAAGTCACAGGCTATACAGTCAGTCAATACACAGTCAGTACTGAGGATTGGTCCTCCAAGTCACTGGCTATACAGTCACAGGCTATACAGTCAGTGTCAGTGAGGATTGGTCCTCCAAGTCACTGGCTATACAGTCAGTACACAGTCAGTACTGATTGGTCCTCCAGGCCACAGGCTCCCTCCAAGTCACTGGCTATACAGTCAGTCAGTACTGAGGATTGGTCCTCCAAGTCACTGGCTATACAGTCAGTACAGTCAGTGCTGAGGATTGGTCCTCCAAGTCACTGGCTATACATTCAATACACAGTCAGTGCTGAGTTGGTCCTCCACACTGGCTATACAGTGAGGATTGGTCCTCCAGGCTGAGGATTGGTCACAGGCTATACAGTCAATACACAGTCAGTGCTGAGGATTGGTCCCAAGTCACTGGCTATAGTCAGTACTGGCCTCCAGGCCACAGGCTATACAGTCAATACAGTCAGTGCTGAGGATTGGTCCTCCAAGTCACTGGCTATACAGTCAGTACTGAGGATTGGTCCTCCAAGTCACAGGCTATACAGTCAGTACACAGTCAGTGCTGAGGATTGGTCCTCCAAGTCACTGGCTATACAGTCAGTACTGAGGATTGGTCCTCCAAGTCACAGGCTATACAGTCAATACACAGTCAGTGCTGAGGATTGGTCCTCCAAGCCACTGGCTAAACAGTCAATACACAGTCAGTACTGAGGATTGGTCCTCCAAGCCACTGGCTAAACAGTCAATACACAGTCAGTACTGAGGATTGGTCCTCCAAGCCACTGGCTAAACAGTCAATACACAGTCAGTACTGAGCATTAGTCCTCCAAGTACCTGGCTATACAGTCAGTACTGAGGATTGGACCTCCAAGTCACTACACTAATATCAGAGGTACGTCACAGTTTCATGTCTTTCTTGTCAACTTGTTGCCAAAATGCAAAGCAAAACTAGAAAAAACAATTTGTTTCAGGGATCAGAGAAAACAAACATGATTCAGGCATCGATGACACTGCGGTTTGTGTAAAAAAATTCTATTATGTACACAAGAAAATATGGACTGTGAAGTAAATTGTCAGCTTTAGTAGCGTTACAGAGACTACTTGCAGACTTGTCTGAAAGTTGGTCAGAGAGTGCTTAGTGACGCAGGGCACTAAGTTGTGCAAATATGACATAATTATCTTACTTCATATTGAATGACTTCAGTATTCAGTTAACAACAGACAAATGTTACTTAAGGAATGTAATTTGATACAATTTTGTGTGTTTATTTCAACAATTCTCATAAATTTAAAAAGGGACATCATTTTCTTCACATGCAGCACATCATTAAGACATGTTTCAGTGATTTAGACAATGAATTATCAGACAAAACAGATCTGGTAAAACAATGGCTTCCTGAAACAAATATTAGCAAGCAGATGATAACACTCATTTAGATAACAACTGATAATCAGGAGACATACATGTAATTAGATAACGTGTGAAAACACTTATATTCAAATGCACTCACATATATGCTACGAAAAGAAGTTAAGGTGCACAGATTCTTCTTTATTACTGCAGTTAATTGGGTTATCCTTATTGTTTTGAGCTGTATAAACCATCACGTATCTGAAGCCATATGTAAGCTATTTCCACATGATCTTGTTAATAGATTGCCATTGTGCCATGAAAGGAAACGTCCCATCATTGTCAACGCTGTCAGACCAGTAAAACATCTTTAAGGTTTTTTTCAGAGGAGATGATGATTGTGGCAAATGAGGCTTGTGGCCAGCTGATTAATTAGACAGCCCCCCACACCCCAGCCACATCTGTGTGGGATCCTGACATTTCCGTGATGAGCGAACGCGTCATTACAACTTTATGAGGACAATATATTCCCAGTAATTAGCCAGGAAGACAATCCATTTGTGTGGTAATCACTAAGTTTGCCATCTTCTATAAATGTCAGGGTAATTAGATGCTCTTCAGATGTTCCTCAAGTCTTATATGTAAAGTTCAAATAAATGGAAATTTTAGGAGCAAAAACGGTATATCAAATACATTTTCAATCTAAACAAAACTTTTTTTTAAAATTTCTGTTATTCTCTTGTTAGGTAAATGTCAATTGGTTTGTTTACATATTTCCATTTCAAAAGTCTGTTTCAAAATATCATATCAAATCAAATCAAATATTTCAAATCAAATCAAATATATTTATTGTGCAAACGTTCCATATAGAAACAGTGACAATATTCTAGAAACTACATAAACAAGATATATAATGAATCACATATATATGATGAACAACAAAACATATTGACTACTCCAGTTTACATCAGCAAAATTCGAATTGTGTACCCCCAACACAAGCACATCTCGCTCACAGTCTCACGGCAATTCCTGTAATCATGTCTAAATATTAACCAATCTTCACTGCAGTAACATCTCAATTCTTCCAGCATATTGCAAGTTAATAAAAAAATAAGTTAAAAACCTAATTTAATTTCGTATTCCATTTTACGAAAAAGAAATGACCAAGCAGATGAATAATTATCAACATTTCATTTTCATTATGGCTGCCACTGATGCAATATTTATATTCAGGTCTCCTTTTGTGAGCACCTTTTAGAGATACAGTTAGGATCACTCATGAAACATTCAGCAGAGTCCAGTTGTCAGAATTGTACAACTTTATGACAGGCAGATAATAACAGTCTGACAGTATAAATTACTTTAGGCCAGGAGAGCTAAAATCTGATGTGGCCATTGGGTGCAAGAAGATTTCTAATGAGTATTTGAAAAAAAATATTGTCATATGAAAAAAACATACCCGGTAAGTGGATTTGTCTTAAGACTTATTACTCAGGACTGTCGATCATATTGTGTTAGGATCCTCAATAGGAACACAAGCTATAACTGCTTCAAGCCCCATCACACAGCAGTCTCTATACATGTGTCCCTAGCCTTGTGCCAAGGCTGTACTGTATGCTAAGCCCATGAATCTATAATAATGCTATCCCTTAAAGAGACAAGTCTACAAAAGCGGACAGTACAATAAGGACGCTAGTCTGTTAGAGGGATATTTATATTTTTTAGAAATCATCATTTAAACTATTGCTTATTACCTATAGAGAGACATGTGCAAGTTGAATGTATCCCCTGTGCCTGATGGGGACAGTGGAACAATCAATATATCTGTGGATAGACCACAATAGTCCCACAAATATAGTTTTATAAGATTTTAAAATAATTCTGTAAAGGAACCCTCAAACCAATAGGTGATAATGGAATGCCATTTCTTACTGTGTAAAACATTATCTCCTTGGGTTTGTGAGAGGGACAATATTATAACAGTCGGAGGAAGCTTAGATAGACAAACGCTTTGTCTCTGTAAATATATCATGTTGATAGAAACAAACAACTAAATTTAAATAGAAAAGGAAACCCAGTGACATGCCAGATTCATAACATGTTGAAAATGTAAACACTAGAGTATGTAATCATTTAGAGCTATAGCATGACAATAAGGACCCATGAAGATCTGGGTCAGAATTGATCTTCAGTAACCCATGCTTGTCGTAAAAGGCAACTAACGGGATCGGGTGGTCAGGCTCGCTGACTTGGTTGATACATGTCATCGGTTCCCAATTGTGTAGATTGATGCTCATGCTGTTGATCACTGGATTGTCTAGTCCAGACTCGATTACTTACAGACCGCCACCATATAGCTGGAATATTGCCGAGTAAAACTAAAACTCACTCACTCACTCAATACAATAAGGACTAGACTTAAAATTATATGGCTGTGACTTTCAGACAGAGCTGATGCTGGGACTAACATGTATTGTAGATAGATAATGGTTGTGTTTAAACTGATTGCAGTTACTCTATGTAAAGGAGCAGGACCAGGAGGCTGCTTAGTGTACAGCTTCACTCCTAGAGGGGCTCCACATCATGGAGACATCTGCATCAATTCATCTTCTTCTACACAGGCTCAGCTGCTCTACATCAACAGATTTTTCAAGAACTACAATTTTTGTAACAGTGACTTAATAGATTATTTTTATAGATTGTATCTTTGGAAATAAATCCCTTTAAGCATTCCTGAAAATATTACAAAAAAGATGTGTCAAGGAGATAAGATCAAGTATGATACAAAAACCAGATGATTCATATACTGAAATGATTATCTTCCGGCAAATACTGTACAAACAAAAACTAAAGGTATGTGTTAAAAAAGGTATACAATTCTGAGAAATGAACCAAATAATTCATGTGTTAGACATGTGAGTGAATGAATACAGTATGTGCAAGTGATGTCATGTAGTATGTCTCACACACAGCAAGACTAAAATATGCTTCTCAACACTTGCTGAAGAGGACAACTTTGACTATTTTGGTCAAATGTTGACTAGCAGAATCGGCAAGCACTGATCCCTGAGTTCTGAAAATTAGGTGTATCTGGTTCCTTATTCATCTAGTTTATTAAGACAATATAAAACTATGAGTGTTGTTGAATTCAAACAATGATGATTTCTTCAATTTCATAAATTTTATTATTTGTTTTATTTTATTGAACACCATCTCTTAGAGAGGTTCTTGAGAGCCAGCAACACCTACCTCTCCATGTGGGACTGGCTTCACCAGGCCTCTGTATTTGGCCATTCTGTAGCCCGTCTCCAGTGCCTGAAACAAGAGACAAACAAGGGTTATCTCCCTTTGACAATGTGAACTTGAGTGAAGGCTGTGGTGCTGGTGAAGGAAAAGACTACCAGGCTCTGGGAGACGCCTGATAACAGGGGCGGCAAGCCGTACTGTCAATCTCCCGACTAAAACCTCCAACTTGTATTACTCCTCTCTGGCAGAATCTCAACAATAAAAGCCCTGAGAACAAGTCACAGTTTTCTCCATTCTACTCCTTCAACCTTGCCGTATCATTTCTTTATCAACCAATTACTAAAATTCAAAGATATTATTCTTTCCCTGCTGTGGGATTAGTAGAAATTATATATGGTAATGACTTCATTTCATTATACTATATGTTTGCATGCCATAGGGTATTCTACATTAACATAAATGATGTTACGGAAGGCGTCAGTCGAATCTTGCTAACTCCTGCATGGTGTCTCAAGTGAAAAGTTATATTTAAACTCATGATACAAGAGCAATAAAAGGGGCATTAACGGTTTCTGAGAACATTATCAGGTATGTCATCATAAATCTGGCTGGTGTGGGATGGGACCAAGATGAATGTGGCAGAGAGGGGTGAGGGACATCATAAAGCAACTCATCCTGCAACAGTGTGTCACATCTGGTGGCAGCCCTGAAGGCAGGAGATACAGCCAGGCTGTCTACCAACAACCTGTCTCCTATCACAGTGTGAGCTGGCCTGATACAGGCAAACACAGCACATAGTGGCAGCCTGATAAGGAATATATAGAATATAGGTGGAGTATGATATAGGAAAATATAGTCATTATAGCTGGAGACTGATATAGGAAAATATAGTCCATATAGCTGGAGCCTGATATAGGAAAATATAGTCATTATAGCTGGAGACTGATATAGGAAAATATAGTCCATATAGCTGGAGCCTGATATAGGAAAATATAGTCCATATAGCTGGAGCCTGATATAGGAAAATATAATCTTTATAGCTGGAGCCTGATATAGGAAAATATAGTCTTTATAGCTGGAGCCTGATATAGGAAAATATAGTCCATATAGCTGGAGCCTGATATAGGAAAATATAGTCCATATAGCTGGAGAGCCTGATATATAGGAAAATATATATAGTCCATATAGGAAAATATAGTCCATGGAGACTGATATAGGAAAATATAATCTTTATAGCTGGAGACTGATATAGGAAAATATAGTCCATATAGCTGGAGCCTGATATAGGAAAATATAGTCCATATAGCTGGAGCCTGATATAGGAAAATATAATCTTTATAGCTGGAGCCTGATATAGGAAAATATAATCTCCATATAGCTGGAGCCTGATATAGGAAAATATAATCTTTATAGCTGGAGACTGATACAGGAAAATACAGCATTTAGCTTGCATCTGATACAAGGAAACATAAGATATGGTTGGAGCCTGATACAGGGTAATATCAAATATGATTTGAGTCTGATGCAAGAAGATATAGTATGTGGTGGAAGCCTAATTCAGGCAAATATAGCATATTGGTGGAGCTGGACACAAGGAAATATGCAATATGGACGGAGCCTGATACAAGGAAATATCGCATATAGCTGGAGCCTTATAAAAGGAAATATAAAACATGTTTGATACAGGGAATATATAGTTTTTAATGTAGCATCATACAGGGAAATATAAAACATACTATATAGTGGAGCGTGATACCAGGAAAACCGTGAGCCACAAAGATGGTTCTAATGCAGTGGGTTTGTTTGCCTCCGCCACTACTCCCATCCTTTATGTCCTGTTTCATGTCACACCATGCTTATAACTGCATTGCATGGAACATAACATTTCATATTGGGTAAAGATTGCCTCTTGCGTGTTTTTCATGATGATTTAACCATAACACTCGTACACACACACAAAATACAGGATTTTATTTGGTAATGGACATAAAAACTTTGCATGTCTCACGATTTTATCTGCTCAATCACGAAAAACAGGTTTCAGTTTTCTTGTCGAACATGTGGTTTTTCAGTGAGCACTAAGTTCTTTACGAAGCTCTTTTGCCACTTAAAGGCTATGACAACTTCAAAATGAAATGGTTGGAAAAAACTCAACAAACACAATAAACCAATGTGTGAGTGAGTAAATTACTGATGCAGTTAGCAATATTTTGGCATGTAAAACATGGGGCACAGTGTGAGGTAGGTTTTATGTCCCATAATGTACCAGGAATATCCCATCGGACACAAAGTGTGTAAGAGTGAGTGAGTGAGTGTGCGGGTGAGTGAGTGAATGAGTGAGTGGTATTATTTCATGTTCAGCAATATGGAGCACATTGGCAGCAAAGCTTTGATATTCTCATATTGTGACTAAGCAGATAGGCATTATTATATCAGCCATGAACAGTCTGTCAATTCTGGAGGTAGTCAACAGTAGAATGGATTCCTTTGAAATTCCAGAAAAATGAAGCCATCACCTGCCAGCTGTTGGGACAGACTTTGCTGCTTCCTTCAAGACTTTAGACATTTCTACTGCTTGTTGTTTAGTCAATGTCTGTAAGAGGTGAGCCAAAGAGTTGTCCATACACTCTCCTACCCAGAGTTCCATGCGGCAAGCCAGCATAGTACCTCTGCCACAGGCCATAAAAATGTGACGATTTGTCACATCTTGCACTGTCCATTCAATATCATGTACATATTTCTTAACTCTTTTATTTTTGACGAGTCTACACGTCTAATTAAACATCTTTGATAGAATGGTTTAGTTTCACTGAGAAAATATCCTAAAACATGTAACACTATTTCGATTTGCGTAGCGGATCCTTTGTTAACCTAGGTTGTACGGCTCCATGTGCTGTCATCGAAGCCGACGGAGAGCAATGATGCAGCCAGTTTGATATCTAAATATGTACTGTCATAAATCTTACTGTCGCAGTTGTGGAAGAATATATATGTAACAATGTAAAACATTGTGAAGAGCACGCCGAAAAGCTTGCGTAAGGCCAGTCTGTTCTTATTATGAATATGCGTGTTTGTTTACAAACAAGAGAAAAGTCCGGTCACGTGATATACAAATTAGCCTGTGGCAGTGATGTTATGCTAAGTCATCACTGCGCCGGAGTGTGTTGTCCATAGTCACAGTGTGCTCAACAAAATCAGTCAGATTTGCTTCAAAACGATGTAAGAGTGAGCCAGAAGCATTTTAGATCAGGATTTAAAAGTCTTGGAACCCTGTGCGCTGGAATCTTTGTCAACTCTCTCAACTACATACACTATGTAACATATTATCCTCTTTTTCACTGCATAGGAGACAAGGAGGTCCGGTCATTCAACACACTACTGAGCAAAGCTGGGTCTCTTGGGTGAGCGAGTGAGTATGGTTTTATGCCGCTTTTATTCCTGCAACATCATGATGGAGGGACACCAGAAATGGGCTTCACTCATAATGTATCCATGTGGGGAATAGAACCTGGGTCTTCAGAGTGACAAACGAGCCCCTCAACCACTCGCTACCTCACCAGGTTTTCTGGTAATGTCAGGAATCACTGGTCCTGGGTTTGAACCCAGGATGCCATGGTCTGTCAGCATCATACCATGTTCAGGTCATAGTTTGTCTGGGAAGAAGACCCTCTACTACAGAATCATGTTCCTCACTGTGAGATGCAGAAGAGTTGAGTGCAACCACGTGTCAGTCTTCAAGACAGCACTCCAGACCACTTACAACACCCTGTTTAATCACTCACTTCAAACACTTGATCACCCTCTGGGGGGTCAAGGTCAGAAAAGGTCCCACAACCTCATGCTTATCACAACAGTCAACTAAAGAGGGGTCCAGCTTTGTAAACTTGGATGATGGAATGTCATCAAATACCATTGGTATTGATTCTTACATACTTAGGAACTGGTTTGTCTGGCACAGGCATGTCACGCCATGACACTGCTGTGATATTGCTGTGGTGTCATTGTGTATTGTATCACCAGTCACAATACCCTGGGCCTAGATTTTCGAAGCTCTCTTCGCGCTAAGACAGTCGTAAGTTAATGTTAATGTATGACACTTACGACTATCTTAGCGCTAAGAGAGCTTCGAACTGATATATTATGTCAGATTAACTACGTTTTATACATTGTCTTATTGGTGTATGTATGTATTTGACTACTGGACATTCAGATCAGGCATGTGTGTGAGTACATGTAGCAAGACCACGACAATCTGAGAGGTTGGTCTGCCTGGCCTCAGCGAGACAGCGTGGGACAACGCGGCAAGCTTCACGCAAACACACAGCCATTTACTGAGTATTTACAGCGCTATGATTTAAGCTTATACTTGGCACAGCTCAGTGTTCAGGTTTACCTTAGAGACAATTGAAAGAACAAATTCCTCAACACCTTTCACCATTGTTGAAATTCTGCTGGTGGACTATCCCTATTTGCTGAAGCTAAACTGGAGAGTTGAAGGTCAGGTTGGGGTTTGGCAATTACCTGCCACAGCCATCTCACCACTCTGATGCCTTCAGCTCTCCAGAACATCCCAAAATTGAGAGTCTCATCTGACCATAGAGTGCATGGCCCATGGCACTCATCACTAGACTGACCAGTCTCATCTGACCATAGAGCATGGCCCTCATCACTAGACTGTCCAGTCTCATCTGACCATAGAGCATGGCCCTCATCACTAGACTGACCAGTCTCATCTGACCATAGAGTGCATGGCCCATGGCACTCATCACTAGACTGACCAGTCTCATCTGACCATAGAGTGCATGGCCCATGGCACTCATCACTAGACTGACCAGTCTCATCTGACCATAGAGTGCATGGCCCATGGCACTCATCACTTGACTGACCAGTCTCATTTGACCATAGAGTGCATGGCACTCATCACTAGACTGACCAGTCTCATCTGACCATAGAGTGCATGGCCCATGGCACTCATCACTAGACTGACCAGTCTCATCTGACTAGACCAGTCTCCATCTCATCTGACCATAGAGTGCATGGCACTCATCACTCACTTGACTGACCAGTCT